TCAACGCCGTCTCGTGGGCGCCGCACTCGAGCTGCCACGTGTGCACGTCGGGCGACGACAACCAGGCGCTCATCTGGGACCTGAGCCCGATGCCGAGCCGGATCGAGGACCCGATCCTAGCCTACTATGCCGAGTCGGAGGTGAACCAGGTGCAGTGGTCGAAAACGCAGCCGGACTGGGTGGCCATCTGCTTCGACAAGAAGCTGCAGATACTGCGAGTCTGAGCGCGAGAGGGGAGAGGAGGAGGACGGGCCGTCCCCTCTGCCGCGTGCCGCTTCGCCGCGGCGCGCGCGCGGTGGGCGCGAGACGGCTTCCTTACTGTGCCGCGCTACCACACTGTACCGTCATCGTCATGGATTGCACCCGCGGGCCGGGGACGCGCCGTTCGCCGGGGTGCGCGCGAGTAGCGCGCGCTGCTCTGTCTGTCGCGGGTTTGTGCCACGTCTATTCGGCGCCGCGGTCCCGGAGTCGCCAAGAGTTTAGCCAAATTTGAACCATCACTAAAGTTCATTCACACGCACTAAATTTAGTCCCAGGCGCCCTCCGTGAAGTGCTCGCCGATTGGCGCGTCGACAAGTGGTGGGGTGAGCTGCCGTCGCGCAACCTGCAGCCAGGCATGCGGAATCAAGGCGAAACATCACGCGCTGGCGAGGACGGGTCGGCGGCGGCGGGTGAGGAAGAGGGGGCGGTGGTGGCGGGCGAGGAAGAGGCGGCGGGCGAAGAGGTGGCGGCGACGGCAGCCTCGGATGGAAGTGGCGGCAATGGTTCTGGCGTGCTCGCTCTCTGTCATGCGCTGGCGCACTCTGGCGTGCCCGAGGACGAAGGTGCAGCGCCCAGGCGGCGCTCGCTACGCAGAGCACACCGAGGTGGGGAGCGGGAGCCCCCACCAAAGCGCAAGATGCCGGAATTCTCAGCCGACGGGCGGCGCCTGCGACCGGAGTGGCAGCGGGAGTTCTCAGTCGCCGGGAGAAATCCCAAAAGGTTTTGGCAGAGGCAGGCGATGGGTGCCTTTGTGCGCGGCGTGATGAGCGTGGGCGAGGGCGGCAAGTGTGCCCTCTTTGCGGTGGGGCCCAAGCATGCCGGAGTGCTGGCCAGCGAGGGCAGGTCGGCGCTCGCCATCTACGAGTTCCTCGCCAAGGAGGCGCCGGCGCCTGCAGCCTTCCAGGCGGCGATCGACAGCTTGCCCGGCGCCATCGAGAACAGCAAGCTGCTCGACGGCAAGCGCCGCGTCCGCTCGCTCACCTTCCACACCGAACTGGACCACCTGGTGGAGCTGCTTCGCCACCCGCACCTCCAGCCCGTGCTCAAGGAGGAGCACGTCAAGGCGGTGGAGGCGCCAGACACCACGCGCTCGCTCGCTCTCGAGGTGCAGAAGATGCTCGCCACACTCGAGACCAACTGTGAGGTGGCTACCCGCACAGCCGCGGCCACGGCCGCGGCGGCGAGGCGCCGTTCGGGCGCAGCGAGCGCGCGGTCGGCAGCCGACGCGCTTGTCAACCTCGGCGGCCGCGGCGACTCCGACGGCGAGGAGGAAGAGGATCCACTGCGCCAGCTCGGTGTCCTCTGCGCACGGCAGCCTGGCCTCGCCTCTCGATCAAAGAAGCGCAGCGCGTCGCTGCCGGAGAGGCAGGCGATGGGTGCCTTTGTGCGCGGCGTGATGAGCGTGGGCGAGGGCGGCAAGTGTGCCCTCTTTGCGGTGGGGCCCAAGCATGCCGGAGTGCTGGCCAGCGAGGGCAGGTCGGCGCTCGCCATCTACGAGTTCCTCGCCAAGGAGGCGCCGGCGCCTGCAGCCTTCCAGGCGGCGATCGACAGCTTGCCCGGCGCCATCGAGAACAGCAAGCTGCTCGACGGCAAGCGCCGCGTCCGCTCGCTCACCTTCCACACCGAACTGGACCACCTGGTGGAGCTGCTTCGCCACCCGCACCTCCAGCCCGTGCTCAAGGAGGAGCACGTCAAGGCGGTGGAGGCGCCAGACACCACGCGCTCGCTCGCTCTCGAGGTGCAGAAGATGCTCGCCACACTCGAGACCAACTGTGAGGTGGCTACCCGCACGGTGGCGGCGGCGCGAGGCGCCTGCCAGCGACTCCCACGTTTGAAAATTACACACCCATGAAGCATGATGCTGCGGGAATCAAAACTCTGCGTTTCTAAAAGTTCGTTTTACCATCGCTCATACAGTTCCACATGCACATCATCATGTTGTTCCACAAACATGGGACAAAAAAACCGAACACTCACACGAAAAGTGAATGCGGTTTCATTGAACCGATTACGGCTCTGGCGCAGGCGAACCAAAGAGGGCAGAGGGGCCGAGGCGGCGGAGGAGTTGGACGTGTGGCGGCGGTGCCACCTGCCGGTGCATTGCGGGTAGCGGCAGCGAAGGACAGCCTTCCTTCACAGCGAGCACAAGGCAGTGGGCTGTGGGGGCACTGGCCCTGCGCTGCGCATGAAAACAACTCGGCCCGGCCAGTCGGAGCCTCCAGCAGCGAGCCGCGTGCGCTTCCCTCCTCCACCGCGAGAATGCTGCCCCGCGCGGCCGCCGCGCCACGCCGTCGCTGCAGCGTGGCCGCCTCTCCGTCCGCCTGTACCGTGCCGCTGCGTGCCGTTTGGCGCTCCGCTCTTGTGCCGCTCGCCATCTCTGGGTGAAGACCCGCGGCAACCTCCGCCTCCGGCTTCCCTCGTCGTGCAGGGCCCGCGCCACTGCGCTCCCGAGAGGCCGCTTACTGGACCGGACACATCGCCTGCTCGCCTCGCCCCTCCCGCGACGTCTCCCTCCGATAGCTCGACTGCCGCAGCTTGGTCTCTGCGTCACCCCTCCGCGCCGCGAGGTAGTCGTATCGGGTCTTGCTCGCGGCCGCCGTCCAGGGCAGGATGCGCTCGAGCCCGGCGGCGTTGAGCAGGTTGGTCGCGCCCGCCACCAGTAGCAGGGCGCCGAACATGGAGAAGTTGAGCGCGACGACCCACGGAAGCGTCCCGGGCAGGCACTGGCGCGACGGGCCGCCGGCGAGCCGAAGGTCGAAGCTGAGGACCAGCCCCGACCAGCCGAACCACGTCGTGAAGTCCACGTACCAGCAGGTCAGCTGCGCGGGGCCCTGAAGCCAGTGGGCGCCGCCCTCGGGCCCCTTGCCCATGTCGTAGAAGCTCTGGTCGGGCGTGGTGCGCGCGAGGCTAGCCGCGAGGACCAGGCCGAGCAGGACGAGCCCCCAGTAGGCGGCGGCCCCCCAGATAGGGGAGGTGAGCTCGCCGGCGCGGCTGCAGAGCAGCCAGAGGTAGTTTGCGAGCGAGAAGGACCATACGTACCCCACGATGTACTCCTCCACGCCGAGGCTGATCTGCAGCGACTCGCTGTGCGCGACGCGCGGGCTCTCGTGCTGCAGCGGCACCGCCCAGCCGAGCAGCCACGCCGCGAGCAACGAGAGCAGCACCTGCTCCACCGCGCCGGCCGCCGCCAGCCGCGCCGCCTCCCTCGTCGTGTGCGTGATCGCGAGCTGGCGCGTGCCCGCAAAGTGCTCCGTGACGTTCCGGACGAGGAGGTGGCCAGCCTTGCCGGTGGCCGAGGTGCAGGCGAGCGTGGCGGTCCTCAGAGCGTAGGTGCGCGCCGACTGGTCGGCGTACCTGCTGTCGGGCTGGGAGCGGTTGAGCCGCATCAGCCGCAGCAGCGCGTGGACGAGGAGCAGGAAGAGCAGCAGCGACGTCAGGAAGGCCGCGCCCGCCGCCTCGCGCGAGCGGAAGTTGCCCGTCGGGCCGACGCTCCCTACCGCCCGGTGGAGCGCCTCGGTGCCGGCGTCGACCAGCAGAGAAGCGGGGACTCGCACGATCCACGGCAGGCTGAGCAGCATGTGAGAGAGGGCGTTCTGCCACTGCGAGTCTGGCTCGCTCCGCGCCCACGCGCCGAGCAAGAGCGAGCGCAGCAGCACCACGGTGGCGCAGTCGCACGCGAGCCCGAAGGCGGCGGCCTGCACAGTGTCGGCAAGGATGCAGGCGCCGATGTGGTTGCCGAGGGCGCTCACGGTGCACGCCATTGCCATCATCACTACGTTGTCGTTGATGTATTGGAGGAGGTTGCCGGCGAACAGCGTCCCGCGCGGCGGCGGCGGCGCAGCGATCAGCGGCTCGGAGAGGCGGCTCATTCAGTCCAGACTTCTAGCGGCAGTCGCCTCCAGCCAATGGATGGTGCCGTTCTGCGCGCCACTGCGCGACTTTGCTCCGGAGCGGACTTCGCGGGAGAAATTCAGAGACACTCGCAGGACGCGCGCACTGGCACATGGCACATGCACTTAAAATCCCTATGTGGTGGCGGCGTGCCGTCCTCCCATCATCCATGTAGAAATTAAAAAAGAAAGCTCAAGGTGCTCGAGCGGCTTACGCCGCTGCTCGGCCGGCAGGCCGCCGAGCTCTACGGCCGCTTCTCGTGCAAGCCGTCGACCACCTTCAACCACCAAGCGCGCGGCAACGAGCCCTCCATCTCACGCGTGCCGCTCGAGCACGCGGGGGAGATGCAGGCGCACCTCTTCCGCACCATCACCGCCACCGCCCCCGACGAGATCCGCGACGTCCAGCACGACGCCAACCCCGCCGGCCCGACGGAACGGCGGTGCGAGGAGGCGATGCACCTCTCGCAGCGGCACGGCGGCGCTGGCTGGACGCACCCTCGGCTCGTCGCGCCGGCCGCCTCAACCGGACGCGTGATGGACGTCCTCTACCTATTGCGGCGGCTCGAGGACGTGTCGCCGCTAGTGCCGCCGCCGAGTGAGTGGGCCACGTCGGGCGTGCCACTGCTTGAGGAGGCGATCGC